TTCACACAGAGAAGCTACTCAAGGCTACCCACCAAGTTATATCAGTGTGTGAAGTGGAACTAGGAAGTTATTGGCTCCTAAAATAAATAATACTAAACTAAAATTAAATACCAATGCTGTTGCAGGGTGGTTTAAAAAGTAGTGTAAGTTACATGATTTAATCAAAGTACATTTTTTGAAAGACAAGTTTAACACAAGTTAAATATTATTATTGTAATAAAATTACAGTAAGTATTTTGGCCTGCTCACACTGTGATACCACTTACATACACTTTCACAGCAATTATGTCCCCACCATTTATTTTTAAAGATACTTTCTTTGCAATTAATCATACCATCTTATTTAAGATTAATTTATTGCTGAGAACTAGCTGGTTGTGAGTATGGACAAAGTACTCTCTCCTTATACTGGAATGTAAGCATCTGAACTTCACAGAAATACCAGCAAAACAAACCAACCTGGGACCTACAGACAAACTTCCTTATACATCTGCTTTTTTGGCAAAGAGTATAGTCACTGAAGTCTGATCCTATGCTCTTAAGCATAAGGTTCTTAAAATTAAATTCCACATTTAGGAATACTCAGGTACTTTTACTCCCATTTGAAGTTAGGATCATCTTACATCATTGGCATTTTGGAAGCACTTAGTCATTGCCTTAAAGACAGGAGTATTTTCCCAGAAGGAGCCGTACACAGGCAAGCACAGACAGAGTGATTTGCAGGGGTTAAGGATCTGACCTTTGCCTATCATACCTGGTATCACAAAATGTAAGTGAATTATTTTGCATCTTTTTAAATGTGCACTGGAATGAGGCCATGCATGTTTGTGAAGAACAGATCTGACACTGTCAAATCAAGGCCATGCAAATATATGCGTTTGTTAAGTCAATTCATACAAACAATAATTGATACGTGCTGAACCACAGCGGTTTCTCTAGATCACACTGACCTGGCTATTCTTAGTCATTCAGTAGACAGAAACCAAAATAAACATATTTGCTGAACCACTACAGTGGAAAGTTCAGAACAGAAACTAAACCAGAATACATTATTAAACTAATAAAATAAAATACATAGTTAGTAACATAGTGTTGATTATATCCACAAATTACAGAGGGTAGGACACTGATTATGTGACATGTTTCAATGCAGGTGGAAAGGGTCGAAAATGACCTAGTAACATGGTGATCCACAGCTGTCAAATGTAAGTTTTAATTCTAATATTGGTATCTTAACTGAAATGAACCTGGAAACGCTATCTATTATATTGAAGTAATCTCAACTATAACCAACGAACATCTGTGGCATCATACGAGAGAGACAGTAACGGAATCAGTAGTTATAGATAACAAACAAGAAGTGTCTCTCTTAATTGGTAATTACAAAGGGATTCATGCAGGGTTGGATAAAGGCTCATACAATTAGGTCAAATTAAAGTTTTTGTATCATCTGCTTCAAAAATAGATTCTCAGTTTATATTGATCCAAGAGTTTCTTTCTTTCTTTCACATGGCTTGCATACCTCAGTTTTGTATGTGTGGGACAGAGTTATATATATTTAACTACTGAAACTTTCCAGTAAGAGTGGTTCAGTGTGTGTTTGATCCTCTGAGAAACATTGTTTTCAACGGCTACACTGTATACACATATGCATATAGAGCATCTGTTAGTGGTTTTTACTCCATTTTCCCTGAAAAGTAGTGAAAGCACATTCAATTTTCAGATCAAACACATATAATATGCATATCAAAAAAGCAATGCCTTTTTAACAAGAAATTAGAGAAGCTAAAATTAACAGAAAATACTAATTTTACCTTTCTCCTCTGTTTTTTTAGCAGGAGATGGAGGTGGTGGAGGTGGAGAGGAAGGAAAATCCAAGACATGTATAGTTTTGTAATCCTCTGTCTCAAACAGCGTTTCTGCTACAGAAAAGACATCTAGAAAAAACTTCAATGAGTCCCAGTGGATTTCTGCTTCGCATAGAATAGTATAGATTGACCTTTTAACAATCCTCTTCAATACTCACCATTTGTTGGAAATAATTTTTAATGGAGTAAATTGTTAACAATTAAAAACTGGAAAATTAAAAGAAAAAATAATGGTGCAAAATGAGTTAACTAGGTATTTTTTCATGTCACAATTTATATCCAGTACTTATATTAAAGTAACTTCTGCACACTGTCCAGAAAAAAATCACTGAATGGAATCTAACATGTATAACTCAAAAATTTGCAATTTCCGTAACTTGTATATTTAGATTTTTTTTATTATGTGTATTTGCTTAATCTGGATTTGTCCTTTTCATTCATTCTTAATACTATATAAAGTCCTAGAGTAAACATCTCCTTCACTCTAGGAATGCTCAACACCATTCCCTTGCTCATATTTTTAAAAAGCAAGTCCAAGGTACACAGTATTTTTTCAAAACTACCAAGCATAAATCTGTAAATTGTAGTCACACCTAAGAGAAACCAGTCGTAGGCCCATGTGCAAACAACTCTGCCCACAGTTCCTAAACTGATCATCTTTTATTGTAAAAATTGTAAAGAGCAGACTGTAAACACCATAATTCACACAAAAGTAAGAGTTTAATAAGATACCTATATTAGTAATACTACAGCAGGATCCACATCCAAAGGCATTTTGAAAGGCTCAGGTACTCCCAACGGACCTTTGTTTAAATACAGTAAGTGAAAATATTTGAAAACCAATGAACTAGTACTGATTTAATCTTGCGAGGGAGAGGACAGCAGTAGAGCACATCAAAATTCAGACTACCTCCCTTTCTACAACCAGGAGGATACACTGCATACAAAGCAGCTCTTCATAAACAACAATCTCCCTACCAAAACCATCTGTTCTTGAAGAACGATAGAGTCCACTCCATACCTTCTACTCAGGTCTCACCAAGTCGGCTCCTCCTGCAGCTGAAGGAAGGGAAATGCCTAGTGTGTCATGCACGGACCTAAGTATTCACTGGAATCAGTTCCAAATCTAAGAGAATTGCCAAATGCAATTCTTGCAACAAAAAAGTGCTTTCACCACTTTCACACCCAATCCTGCCGCTTTTCTTCTCTCTTTAAAGAAAGAAGACCCATACTCTTTTTCCCCCCCCCAAAAGGGCCTCTCAGCATCCACAGAGAAAGGAACGACTGAATGATTTGCCATATTATACATCTTTCTAACAACGTCCTACAGAGATACTGTGTACAGTTATCACCCAGGATTAAAGGAAGCCATAAAAATATCCCACTTACTACATCTTTATTTACAAATGAGTCAAATATTTTATGGAAACTTAGTTATGACATAAGACTGGGTATGATGTATTATTTTCTGTATTAAATGCAGATACTAAAAAACCTATTTCAAGATTGTTTTATCATGTAATTTTATTTTAATTGTATTAAATGATGTATTTAATATGTATACTGTACCATTTGATAACTGTAATTTGAAGACCCCAAGAGGAGTTAGTTATCCACACCACATGATATACAATACTTGAAACAATAAATATAGCAACACATTTGACAAAAAGCCCCTTTGGGCAAGTTGCATACACGTAAGCAGATTGCTGCAGATTGGATTTGACTCTCAACGAAGCTTGCGAGATGACAGAGAATTAACCTTTAAATCCACCTTCTTACCTAAAGAAGCCTTCGTGCAAGGCTACGTTTATTTCTTACTCAAGGACACACTAAATATGTCCTTGTACTGTCATCTATAACTGTTTAAAATGTAATTATGTTAAGTAATACTTGTAAATAAGAGTTCTCAATTTATTCATATGAGTGCATGTAAAATGTTCATAAATACACTGCAACTATCTCTGCTGTTACATTTTCCACATCAAATACTTATTATACATACATTCTAAATACTTATCTACAGTGGGAAGTACTTATCAAAAATATATTTTATACAACACTAACTTCACAGATTAACAGGAATATTTAATTAAAAAAAAAAAGTTTGTCCTTTATAGCCAAAGTAATTTTCATACAACAAAGAAAATAGCCACTGTAACTATTCATGTGCAGACTGTTTCTTTGGAAACATAAAATAAAGAATGTTCAAAGTTGTGTTGCTATTTGAAAAGGAAGATGAATGCAGTAAGTTTCTCAAGCAATAGATATTCTTTACTTGAATATTTAGGATTACACTTTAAAGAAGGATTAACTTAGAATCAATGTTAAGGAGATCAGAAACCACAGATAACATACAAGTCACATGTACATCTCCAGTAGAAAGTTACACACTTTATTTTTTACATCAAAAATTTCAACAACCAACCAGATTTTTTTAAGTGGAATTATCAGTCACATCATATTATAAATAAAACTTAAAACTGAGTCACAACAAAGTAAACTTTTCCAAGGATAGGGGTGACATTTCAGACATGGTTTACTTAAGTAAATCATGTCTGAAACGTCACGTCATGTTCAAGAAAAACACACATTTGATAAAAACTGAACTTCCTCAATACTTCCAGAGACTAATACCTGAATATTAAAGTCTACATGATCAATAAATTTAAGGCTATTAACTCTTGTTTAATAAATTAGAAATACAAATATATTGAAGTGTATGGCTTTAAACTAATAACAGAACCTTCCAAAATGTCTTTTTACAAAAATCTGACAATAACTAAAGTTTGAGATAATATAAAAAGCAGCCAGTTTTCTTAATGTAATGACAATAAATCATATTCTTGTTTGTTTACATATTTTCTACTTTTAAGTTTGGGTGCCATGTATCTTTTGCACTGAAGTGAAAACAATATTTCTCTGATTTCATGAGTGTATAGCCTATCACATGAAAAAGAAAGTCTTTAGACCTGAAGCCTTTTACAAAGACAATCTACCAAAATGGTCCATATGAGTGACTAGAAAAGGTACGCTGGCAGAGAGAGCTTTCTGGTCCTTAATTATGATTGGATTTCCAGACTTTCATCTTAACTTTTCATGAAGAAAATCAGCCTATATCAATTTCAAGTTTCAGAGAAACAAGTCTTGAAAATACTCATCAAACTCCTCCTCCCTGTAAAAAAAAAAAAAAAGAAAAGAAGAAAACAAAAGAAAGGTAAAAGTTCTGCTTTAGAGCTGTACTTAGGAGATAATGCTTGTATGAAAAAGATTCATCAGACTTCTGGTTAGAATTTGTAGCTGGTACAGACCATTCTGAATTATTCAGTACATTACAATACCCTTCACACTTCCCCTTCTGTGCCACAGCAGTGAATTCTTTACTTCTAGGCTAGGAAAGAGTACAGAGGGGGTAAGACAGCAGTATAGTGGCTAGACAAACGTTTCTCCTCCAGTGTTGTGTACTACCCTCTCTTAAAAAACATATATAGGTTCACTAGACAGAAGGAGATCTGACACATTTTTAAATGTCAGAATATTCACTAAAACACCCAGGAAAACATCTCTGCCTTTTCAGTTCTGAAAGGACAGGGAATGTTTTACTAGGTACAAGTTCACTAGATTGCACTGACCGTGATTTTTCATCTGCTTCTTCTGGAGGACCTTTCCAAAAGTCAGCATCTGAAGGACCATCTTGCGCATCACTATGATCTGAATCTGTCAAAAATTTTAAAGCGCTTATGAAATAAATTTGAAAATAATTTATCTTTTTAAAATTTATTTAGATAGTATAATGTTAGGAGCAATGTTTAGTTGTAACCATAAGAATAAAAAGAACATTTTACTATACCTAAAGTAGAAACAAAACCATTTTCCAATATTATTCAATACAGCATCAAAAAGACTCTTAGATACCATGAACTAGTATTTTGGCCAAACGTAACAACAGTCATATCAAACACTGGTCTTGACACAACAGCAGCATAGCACTTTGTTCCTGAAATTTAGGGTTTATAATCATAAACCCAGAATTACAGTGCAGTTTCAACTCATGATATTCAATGAATCAGTTGCTTTACTTCTACTTGAATGACAACTTTCACAAACAGAAAACATGGATTACCGTATAACTGTTTTGTGTAAGCATAAAAAAGGAGTAAAACCAAAAAAACCCACACCACGACTCATTACCAAAAATATGCCCTAAACCCGCCAATATTCTAATAGAGCTTTCCTGACAAAACAGAGACTTAGGGTATGGTCTGAGTCATAAGTAAACCTGTGTCTAGCTGGGAACACGCAGGTTCTGAGGACATTTGTAAAAACATACAGCACAGCAGAGCACTCAGTAGAAACGCTCAACCCTCAGGCAGTCTGCAGCAAGAAGGGACATGACCAGTAGATGGGGTTTGCTTCATCAGAAAATAAACGGGCCTGCCCCTGCCGAGATACCGAGTCACCCCCTGCAAGCAGGCTGCCGAGGTACTACAGGTGGCAGCTGGAGAAGACTTCATAGTTAAAGCCTAGGATTTATTTAAAATACGGTAGCGTTTTGAGTAGACTACATATTAGTATCATTCCCTGAAAGAAACTGTGGCAATTACTACACTGGAAAAGTACTTTCTTTGCCCAGCACACATTACACAGCACATATTTGCACATCCAGGCCCACGCAATTATTAACAATATACCTATTTTTGCGTCCTCTACTCTGTTCTGGAACCAGCTGATTTCTCTTTTTTTATTATTATTACTTCAATTCCATTATCTGCCTACATTTTTATTCCTGAATTAAAAGATTTCCTTCTTAAAATTCCTTACAGTTTTTCTCCAAGAATTTGTAAGTAATTATTTTAACCCTTATTGGATCTGTTTGTTGCTACGCAGCATTCTTACAGTCTTATAAAATATCAAAACTGCCGGCGAATAAAACTAAGACCAATGACAAATGCTTACAAAATAATACAATTTATTACAAAAACATAAAATGGACAATATATTCAAATACTTTACCTTTATCAGAAGAATCTGAATCTTCTGAAGAAGACTGATCTGAAAAGAAACACCATTTAAAAACCAGCAAGCTTATCTTGGTTTTATCCACTACCTTAAATTGTTTACAAGGGTATTTCTATCACAACACATTACACATAAACATGTGCAGAAAGCAAGCAAGCACTGAAGTAAAAGGACTTTTTTTGCATGAGTTCAAAGGTCATCAGTTTGTGCTCAGATATGTTATGTGAGATCTGTGGTGTAAAAAGGTTATCTAGTATTTCCCAAAGCCTTTCAACCCCAAAGCCTCAAGGAACTAAATGCTTCACAACCCCTTCTGGTATGTGATGTCCACTTTTTGGACAAATTTTCCCTGCAATGAATATTTTTCAAAAGGCTTTCCCTCTCCATAAAATGTAAGAGATTTACCTCTTTTTCCTCCAAATTTTTTTTACCTTTTTTTGTGGATGTACGAAATTTGACTACCTGTGTTACAGTTAAGATAGTTACATATCTGTATTTATACATAATTACTATTATTACATATGTAAGCAAAGCAAGGATTCAACTCACATATTCCAGTGTTTTAAAAATTGAACGTCTAAAATGGCAATCTACCTTTATGGGTCTTTTTTCTTGACTTTTTTTCTGAACAAGACAATTTTTTCTTTTTAATTTTTGGCTCTTTAGAGTTTGATGTAGTTGTGCCTCTTTTCTTGCGTGCTTTGACTTCTTTCCTCCTTTAAAGAAAAGAACGTACACCTCTATTATAAACATACTCCTTAAGTAGAATGTACATAATTCAGTCAAACAGTTGTTACTATCACTATCCCTAGTTAAACTGAGAAAAATTGATTTAGTTAAAATAAAAAGTGCTACAGAAACACCAGAGCTCTACAGGTAAATATAAAGGGTTGGAAATGCTAAAGCTGCTAAAATGACACTGATGCAGGCACCAAAAACAGTGAATTGACAATCAAAGATTAAATACAGAAAATAATTTTATAACGTCAGGTTCTAATTTATATTGAAATCTTACTTTTTCTTTTAGCAACTTGGTATAAATGTAATGAGAAAAACACAGCTAATATAGGTTTTTTAAATATATTTTCCTATCTGATAGTGACAAAAGCTGAGGTAGAAGAATCTCAGGTCTAAGAATTTGCTGCAAATCAACAACTCACATATTTTATTTTCAGCATTATGCATGTAGGCTTACTGTATGAACAAAGGCTATTTTTTTTCTGCTTCTTTGCACAAAGAAGTTACTAAAATTGTTGCAAAGTCTTACTCTACAGCTGACAAAAAGAAAATGTTTGACCGTGCTTATTCTGAATTCAAGTGGGTTTAAAATTTTAGTTCCAAAAAAAGGCAAGACAAATCAAAGTAATTTCAATTAGTTGATTTTTCTTCTTAATATGTGCCTACAAAACGCTTTAATGAAACTTATTATGAATTAACTTTTTAAAATAGATCAATTAGCTATTGAATATATCCATCTTGACCCACATTTGATTTGTGTTACCTAAAAAAAAGAAATCATCACTTCCTAGCTTAACAGTCTCCTTTTCATACTCTTTTCAGATGACTGTACGGCTTAATTATTGAGCTGTGCAACTAAGTTAATACCACATCAGGGTTTGGAAAATCATAAAAACTGAGTATCAGTAGCTGTGGAATTCAGTAAGATAACAGTAATAATAAAAAAATCAAATCTTAATGCACACATTCACTATGTTTCACTCCCATTAACAAGTGATTCTCAAGAACAACAAATACATTCAAAATTTCAAAGCACAATCACTTGACTCAGACATAAACCCACTATTTTTAAGAAAAGGAGAAGTATTCCAGCTCTTAAACAAAGCAGGAGGGAAAATAAAAAAAGAAAGTGTTTTGCATAAACTTTCAGCAAAGAAAAATAATTATTGGTCTGAAATTAAGAAAATACTTTCATGGGGGTGGGGATGGGATTCTTCAGTTTGAGGACTTTTGTACTTTTATTAGTACAACAATATCTAATTCTCAACAGTGTCAGGTCAGTGACTTTTTAAGAACTCCAGAACAGAATCTATTTCAGCATAAATGAAGTTCCTAATCATCTAGCTCAAGTATTCCCTCTACTAATCATTCACCATAACTGCAATCAATCAATAATTCAGCCACCATATTTTGAAAATATTTCATTACCGGTGATGAAAGTTTAGTTTGTAGGAACATTCTGGACATAGTCCTGAAAAGATAGAATAAGAACATTACACCCATGTATTTGGTAAGCACAGTGAACAAAACATTAACACATAAACAGGACTAGACAGAACACTATCTTCCAATTTCAGTAGCTTTTCCTTCAAATCCAAAGTTACAATAAAATTGCAGACAGGGTTGAGAAAAATAACTCTGAGAAAAGTCTTCAGTACAAACCCAGATTTTACTAAATGTGGAGAAATATCCCAGGTTTAGCACTGGCATTTCTTCCTAAGAAAGTATCCACTCTTACCACACATGCTGCCGCATGGACTGTCTTGTGCACAAAAGAAAAAAACACCAGTAGCTTTTTTTTATACAAAGTAACTGTGTTAAATTTAATTATCTGATGAACAGATCAAAATGTAGACCATAGGGAGCAGGAAAACCCAATTCAAGAGACAAGACTAGAAATTGAAGTGATTTAATTAAAATTAGGATTTTTGAAAGAAAACATAAAGTATTAAAAATAAAACGAGTAGAGCTGAAGGTGTGCAAGATGTCTGGTCCAAAGTCCTTAGGACGCCTAAACCATGTAACTGATTAAGGAAGGACAGTGATGGAACCCTCCTTGCAATGAAGCATTGCCCGTTAAAACCAGATGTGCCTGGATACAAACCAGCTTATAATCAGTTATTCTAATTTTATGACATCACCAATTATAAAGCATGAAGTGTTCAACCTGTAACAACTTTGTCATATATAATAATAGCCATTCTCTCTCAATCAAGACCACCATACTATTGGTAATTAACAAAAATGTCTCCTATTCAGCATTTTCCATTTTTCATGAACTAATATCATTACCACTGGGTCTCACTCTAGCTTTTAAAGCACAAGATATTTATTTTCTTTTAAGTGTACATATCCTTGTAGGGCTCACTTACTCAACTTCACAAGTGCATTCCTCTTCTCACCATGTTCAACATAACCAAAATTCACCTCCCAGCTCTTCAGGCCTTCTTTTTCATCACAGTGCTTATTGCCACAGGAAAACTGACCTTTAAAGAAGTCAAAAATCAACAAACCACGGTTCAATGATTAACAATCATAGGTTTGGGGTTGTTATGTCCAGTTTTGCTCAGTTTTTTATTTTAGTTTCCCATTTTTTTCAAATAAAGAAGGCCAAATCTAAACATAACACCTAGATTAAGGAAAAAGTAACAGATGACAAAGCAATCCATCATACTTGTCTCATATTGCGTGTTTGTGAAGAAAGAACATAACTGGAATTGTGTTTTACAATGTATAGATTAGGGCATATGTTACGAAATAATAAGCGTAGGACCGGACTCAGATGAAATCAATGTCACTGGGATACACTCCGCACCTTAAATGATTCTTACTTAGCAGAAGCTGACAGATCAAGATGTGCGATTCAGACATTCATCTTTAATGACATCAAACTATTCCAAGCATCACATTATGTACAAAATCTCAGATGGCCGTGTTCTTACTACCTTTCTAGTTTACCTACATACTGGGCATACAATTTGTGTTCTGGTGACTTTCCATAAACACTTTTAAGAAAAGGAAATCCAATTCTATGTGAAACTATACGTCAGCTTTAAAAGCTTCCTTGGTTTTATTATGTTAAATGCTACATGAATTTTAAAACAATCTGCACATAATCAATGTTGTTTACATCCACGAGTTCCCAATATTGCAGTAATAAAGGTACATTTATTCCCTTTGCAGAAGACTGATTTGTATGCAGAGCTGGCAGTAAGGATGTGTATTAATAGGCTCACAAGCAGGACTGTTGGTGAACGATTAACCTCAGAACATTCTGCTTAAGCTGCTAACTAATGGATTGGCAGTGTCCTCAGATACTTCAGTTCTACAGTGTAAAACCACTTGTAAAGTTAACACTTGAACCAAAAAAAAACCCAGGACCGCCATTAAAAAAAGTTTTGAATTAATATACATTAAATATGTTCAATCCTATATAAGGTATGGCTTTCAGCACCTTGTGTTATCAGAAATAATTTAGATCCATTCTAAAGAAGTAAAAATCTGCAAGAAAAAATGTATACTATATAAAAACTTTTTGGCGACTTAACCACACTCTCTTTACTTCACATCTGAAAAAAATCACAGAACAAACCCAGAAAAACAGACAGAGAGAAAAGAGACATATAGCACCTTTATTTATGATTAGGTGTCCTTTACAGTATGTAAAATCTATTTCGGATATTCTACATTTTGGATGTGAAACCGGGCATGTTCACAAGAATATAGCGGGAACAGTACCTTCAGATTGCTATGGCTAGCAATGACTTCTTAGGTAAGACAGAGCTTGACTGTGTAAACTACCATAATTCTGTGCCCTTATACATTTATTTGCATTTATGATCATCTAAACACCTGATATTGTAGTAGGTTTTTTGAAGCAGATTCTTGCTCCATGCCATACATGTGTATCAGTAACAGTCAGATTTCTCTTACCCTCCTTTCACACTACAATCCTGACTACATGTATTCAAACCTTGACTTAAATACGGAACACCAATCTTTCTGAATGTTTTTTTCAGCAGTATTTATCACTCTAGTATATCTGAATGTCATAAAAACATTAAAAATTTTTTTTTGTAAAGAGGTAATTATAAACATCACCGTGTATCTGGAGAACCCAAATCAAAGGTAACTACAGACCAAATTATTCAGTATTTGAAACATGACTTTTCCCACACTTAGATGTCTAAGTAAGGAAGACACAGAAACCTGGATGCCGAGGAGACAGTTACTTAATTTAATCAGCAAAAAAAAGTATGTCCAAAATTCCATTTCCACCTGAACTTTTGTCACCTTGTTATGAGCTGCAAGTAAACTATTGCCTTCACCTTCAGAATCATACTTCCTAAAATCTGGCTATTAAATCTGTTCTTTCTTAAACTATGAGCCGCTTTTTGAATAAGAAGAGGTGGAAAACACAAGTACTACAAGTTAAATGAAGTACCAAAAATTATATACACTAAAGAAATCTAGAGAGCCAAAAGATGGATTTGAATGCATTTTGACCAGAACTCAGACCTACAAGATGGGTACATGGATCCGTGCCACAAAGTCCAGGGATTGTTACCCTGACTATTTTCCATACAGGAAATTATGGAGAAAAAGTAAATGGAAACAGGTTTGGAAGAATATTTGCTTGAATAACATAAAGCATACTATATGTATATTTATAGATATATAAAATGGGCTAAGAAAGACACTAGTATGCTAGAAGTGAAATGTTAGCTCAGTGAAATAATGGAAAACGGAGAGTAGATCAATTTGCAGGTATCAAACCCTATTTTGCCAAATGCTGTGTCTGGCTTGAATATTTTACTACTTAATCTGCAAGTACAAATAAGTAGAAAACAGCAAATATACCTACATGTTCAGCTTTGCTCTTTCTACATATTGCTTGAAAAGTCCTATTTCACCTCTGCCCAATGAATCTGTTACCTGTTTTTCTCTAGAAAATGCTTACAACTATTGCCTTTTGCCTAAAGCTTTATGACATAACTTAATATTCATGCTTTGAAAGTAGAGAAAAAGTACTTGGGAAAGCACATAAACCACACTTTTTAAATAGCTTAAAAGTTTTTCATTTTAAAGAGTTACTTTCAAGGCCGACTAACATATGTTAATCAATTTATATCAATGATTTTTACCTTATAATAGGAAAAGAAAGACATGAAAGATTCATGTCTTAAAAACGATCGTTGGAAACTCCACTTGAAAAGAGCATCCAACACAGGAGACAAAGTTGAATTCTTGCGCCCCTTAGTGGTGATAGATACTACTCAATTCTTCTGTTCCAATTGTGTACTTTCTCATACATTTTTACAGAGTGCCAGATACTAGAAGTACAAGGCAGCTTTAAATTATTTTCCCCTAAGAAGCCATAATTATTCATAAATTATGCATTTCTCATTTAATTTTAGTTATCTTTTTAAGGATTTTGATAAATCATAAAACTATATCAAAAGTAACTATCTGTTACTACAATCCGTAGTGCTGAACATAACATACGACTGCAACTATCTTTAGGAACTTTAATCTTTATAGCTTAAAAAATCCCACCACAAATGTTCACATTTCCTCCTGTGAAATTATATAATTCTATTTTTAAAAACAAATGCATTTCTAACTTCTTGTAACAGAACAACAGAGCTGTTTACAGACTGTTCCGATCAACCGTGTAACTCCACGTGAAAACCATACGTGTGTATGAAGATCTGCCTACAGAAACAGCAAACACGTTAACATCACTTTCTTGTGCACTCAGCTACTTGCAAAGTCCCCACGCTGTGGCCACGGGATGGGGACCACTGTGCAAAGTCCCAACAGCGCAGTGGTAAGAACTCGCACACAGAAGCAGCCAGAATAAACGACTGATTTAGAAACAGGAATGGAACACCCGACAACCATTCCCACTGATTCCCACTGAAGCTTTCAAAGTCAGTTTAGCCTAAAACAGTCACTACACACCGTACTTGCATTAAAAAAGACTAGATTTTGCACAAGAGCATTCGGAAACTCTTAGGAAAATTATTTCCTGAGGAAAAGTATTAAGAGACTTCAATTAACAGTATCAAAGACTAAAGAGGTAACAGAACCACAGCAGGAAAGCAGCTAAAAACACATCCATAAAATTCTACATTATCAAATGCATTATGATGGTGTTCAGTACAATTCTGACCTTTTGAAAATGAACAATATGTTATGTTAATTTTAATATATGTATATCAGTGTGCACTCTAGAGCTTTGTGGTATAAAATATCAAAGTTTGAAGCTAGGTAATTATTCAATTTTCTAATTATTAAATTGTCTAATAAAATTATATCAAAACTCAGCAAGAAAAGCATCAAGGAGAAACATACTATAAAATGAAGGACAGCATTACCTTTCCCTGAAATTACTTCTTTCTCATGTCGCCATCTAAACCCAAACTGTTAAGATAAGAAACAAAATTCAGTTGTAAATAGTTAACGCATTCAGTAACGTAAAGACTAATTTCAGTTGATTGATGTCATGCATGTGGTTCATCCATTCAACTCTGGTTAGCAAAATCTAATTTCTTTCTTCATTAATTAAAAATATATCCCTGCCTCTGCCTTTCAGAAGGGTTCCAAATCACACATCCAATTCAAATTTCAGTACTCAACAGCAACCTTCTAAAAGGCTTCAAAACATGCAGAAGAACAAATGGAAAATTAGGGTAGACTGACTTTATATGCACTTCATTGCAATTCTGCCCACAGCAGAAACTGAGACCACTGAAAAGTCCTGTTAGCACATAGCAATGGATCACCTCTTACACCCTAAGGGCAAAAAACCCAACAGCCAACAACTAAGTTGTATTTCTCTTTACATTGCTACAAACTTCAAATGTAGATAATTCATCTACTATTTTTTTCCAGTAGTATCTACTTCATTCTCTCAAAATATTGAAGATGGAAGATGGACAGGAGCGAGAACAGCCTGGGAAAAACAATTTTATTTTCACTAACAAGTAGAAAGAGGGGATAAAACTCAGAGGTATACAACTTCTCAGAAAAGGACTATCTTGAATTTTTATTTAAAATTCATGAGCACAGGTTGACAAGAGAAAATTGCAGCTCTCTAAGGAAAGTACAGAAGACTGAACTTCACGTTAAAAGATGAAGGAGGAGGGGGAAGAAGGGTTACAAAAATGCAACAGGTACAAAGACAGCTGCAAAGCCAATCTTTGGCACCTGAGTTCCAAAACATCCTTTGGAATATGAACCTTCTCTTGTTTCAGTCAAACAAAAACTAACCAGTTGTAAAAACCAAGAACTGTGCTGAACAGTGAATAGCATGCTGTTTCAGTGAAATTACAATATAAAATGCCTCGGTAAGTGTAGAATTCATGATGGAAACTGGTTGATCCAAAGACTGATAATTGGTTTTGTTCTTCTAAAGGACATTTCCTTCACCAGTCATCAAGTTATCCAGGCTCACTTCTGCTGCTGAAGTAGACTATTACACAAATTTTGCCTCACAGTCCAAACATGACCCAGGAAGAAATAAATCAGATTATATCCTGTGTATTTCTGTAATGATATCAAGAAAAACAAGCAAAATAAAAGAAAGAAGGGAGCCATAACCACCTGTAGTACATCTAGGACAAAAGTTGTCCTCATCTGCATTGATTTTTGCCTACCATTTTCCACCAACTAGTAGAAAATGACTGAGTGACCAAGGCTAAGAAATAATAAAAGTAAATGCAATTGAATTCATCTACCTAAACTAAAAAAAAAAAAAAGAAAAGAAAGAGGAACAGATTGAGCTATATAAGAAAACTAAAAATTAGGATATATTCTTGAAAAGTCAGCCTGTTGTACTAGGGACTGCAAAAACACTGTCAGCAGAGAGCATTTATTCTGTCTCATCCTCTTTGTTAAATGAATTCAACAAGATCCTAAATGAGCTATTTCTGCAGGGCAGACCAGGACCAAGTAGAACAACTCGGAAGGCTAACTTAGAAAGAAATTATAGTTTTAAAAATGTGAAAGACCATTTAACATCTATAAAGAATAAAATTCCCAAATTAAATACAGACTGCTTGTGTAATGTGCACTGGCTGCAGCAACAACCAGCACGTCCACAGTCGCCTCTTACAGAAAAAAAATGTATGAACTTAGACAATAGTGTGGAAAAATACCACAGATACTTTAAATACTTTTGTTTTCACAGGAAAGCCTCCATGGTGAAAAACAATGACAAAAGCGAACATATTAACATTACCAAGTGGAAGACAAGTTGGCCTAGAAATCTGAAAATGATCTGGAAATAAAAAGAAAACAATAAAATCTATTCTGTTTAATGACCAGGTGTCAGACAGATTTCACTTGTACCAAATAGGAGACATTTCCAATCTGTTAAGCTACAAAACAAAACACATGCAAACAAAGAGACAGCAAATAAGAACTTTACTAGGAAAACAAGACAACAAAGAGAACATTTTTCATCCAAAGCGTATCAAAGTAAAACTTACATGCAGAGCACTCTCCCTTACTGCATTGCAAAACTGACAACAGAACTAAACTGTCAATACCGATGGCCATTTGTCAGCCTCAGAGCTTGCAGACAAGATGCACTGAAAGTTCAAAGACAACCTTGACCTAAAAAAACCTGATCTAGGGAAAACATAAGAAGTAAAAGTCCCATCATAAGCAAAAGCTGTCAGAGCACACTCTTCCAGCCTCACACCAGAGGGTCACCTCGCCATTTCTTACTGAAAGAGGAAGAAAAGATTTTATGTCCCAAACACACAAAGAGAAGTGGAACCACAGGTCACAAGGTCCATTTGCCAGCAGTGCCAGCAACTGACGCAACTGCAGGTGTGCAAGTGAGTGTGGGAGCACCAGTGCGGATCAAGCTGGACCAGCCATGAGGTAGGTGAAGTGCTGGGGCAGTGAAGAGGGTGAGTAGGTCCCCACCAGCCAGCTCTGGGTTCCTCTAAGGATGAGAGCACAGAGGGGTCTGCTATGGGACCAGGGCAGTTCCAGCCACGTCTGTGTGTGCGTTACGTGTGAGTGAAATAGTCTGAACCAGTAACTGGAGCGCAGCTGTGGCCTCAGAGGTTCGTATGTCTTGGAGCTTCTTACTGTTTTCTTTTGAGCTTTGATCTCTGACAAGGTGCTTGCTTGTTTTTCAGAGGCACCTCCCATGAAACTGGTCCTTACCATTATCCAGTACTTAGGAAAATAGTGTTTTTCCTCAGAAGAGAAGTTCTAAATGAGATCTGAGCTACAAGCTCTATGCAGAGGTCTTTAGAAGAATTAGCTGGCTAGAAGATTTTGGCTAAGTAGTAAAACAATTACAGTTGTGAAAAGACAGATGAGCATGTGCAAGCCTCAATGTACGCAATATATACATATATCTATATAAATGAAACGTCACAGAAAACTGGTTTCCAACTGTACTTTGATACCATCCTGTAGAATATAGAATCATAAAATCACAGAACAGCCCAGGTTGGAAGGGACCTCAAAACAGCATCTGGTCCAACCTTCCATGGGAAAGGGAGCCTAGATGAGATTATCCAGCATCCTGTGCAACTGTATCCTGAAAACCTCCAGTGATGGAGACTCTACCATGACATGGGGGAGGTTGTTCCAATGTTCTTATGGCAAAAATTTCTTCCTTATATCAAGATGGAAGGATTATCATACAAAGAGCATCAACAGCTACCATATGAAAGGCTGGCCAGCTGGGCAGCTAGTTACCCACCCTGCGCCTCTCCTAACACCAGCATTGCAAAACAGGACATACAAGGGGCTAAAGATATCCAACTTTCAGTTTCTGGAAATGCAGAAAAAGAATCAGGAAGGAAAAATTTAAAAGCACAGACGGCATTCCACTGCCATGAGTGGGATCAGAAGCCTATTTCTGACTTCCAAGAAAAAAAATCCAACCTGCTTTGATATCCTTCTGTACCAAACATGGGCATGGATAAATCACTAACAGAGAAAAACCTCAATTTTTTTCTATTTTTCTAAGAATTTCTAAGAAAAACTCCCACACGGTCAAAACATAGTTGTAAACAGAAAGCATTACCTGATAAAAGAGAGCAAATTACATGATACAGTAGTTATGCGGACATGGCAATTCAAAAATACAGGTAAATAGGAATTCAGAGTGACCTCAAAGTTAGGACACCCACATTTGAAGTCTGACAGGGAAACACTGTTCACACAAAACACACACACACAAAAAGGAAACTGGGGCAGAACAGTTTCCCACAAAAGACAGCAAACATATGGAAACTTGGCACACTAGCGAAAGAAACCAAATCTGTAAGCATGCTCCAGGGAAAATCAGTTTGGGGGGGTGGGGTGGCGATGAAGGGAAATGAAATTGCTATAGGAAAATAAAATTAAATTTATTTTAAAAAAAACAAGGGAAGACATCTTCAGCATTTTACTTTTTGTTAATTTTCATTTAATTTTTGCATTTTTCTGTTCCAATTTTCTTCATAAGGTTGTCACCTCTTCTGCCTAGTACTTGAGTTTAAGCCCAGTCCTTGCAAATATTTACCACTGAATGTAATTTTCAATACTATAAATAGTCTCAAAGAACTTCATATAGAGACTGTTTGCAGGGCTGGGTTGTTACCGCGTGCTAACTACACTGAGATGCATCCAAGTTCAGCAACACTTTGCAAAATCACAACAGCAACTTCATGTGTTCTTTTTGACTATAAGCTTAGTCAGTCAAAAAGTTGGAAATGACAAAGGCTGTTCCAGTTAAGAAGTAAAAACAGTGCTGGAATTGGGTTGTTTCTGTTAAGAAATTCTATTTATTTACAAGGAACACACAAATCCTGTTTCCATAAACATAAAAGAACAACCAGCAAAAGATGCTGCTTTGGGACAGACATTTCCAAAATTGTTTCTGCCAGCATTCAAGTACAAAACTCTCTCTCTTTTTAGCTTCTCTCTCTTTTTTTTTAACATTCCCAGGGATTTTTTAGGCTTCATGCAGTGCTTCTCTCCAGGCAAAATTCTTAGCCTTCTCTCCTTAACCTCTCTGCATTTTCTGCCTTTCTTACACACAATGTACCTCTTCACAAAACATCATCTCACAAAAATGCTCCTATTCCCACAGAAACACATTTTTGGGGCAGTGACAATGCTTGGATTCAAACTACTGCTGCTTACTAAGTAACTAGACAAATTCTCACAACTCTCTTTCTAGGGAAGGGGTACTAATATTCTGGTTTCACAATATATCCACAATCATAAGGTAATTTTTTAAAAAGGACATATGTTATAACCAAGATGATTTACAGTAGTGAAACGTACCTTATTCTCTTTGTATCTACTGAGATCTGCTATACAGTATTCTTTGAACAATTTATCATAATACTTCTTTGCAAGCCTCTTCTCCCTGTAACAAAAGGTATTACTTTTAATGAAATATCAAACACGAAACAATTAATTTTACATTGTAATGACATTAGCAAGACAAAGACACGTTTTTTCATCTGAAGAACACAAGTTGCAGAGCTAGAAATTCAACAGACACTCACTGACCTAAGGAGTAATTTCCATAAAACTGGAAAAATACATCTAAAACATATCTACAACACAAATTAAGCTGTTATTTTTGCAAACTAGGCTTCTTTTGTAGTTTTCAGAACAGTCATTTAGATCTCAGAGAGTGCACAAATATTTCCTAGTTCTTTCTGTTATCGATTTACTTTGCCACTGAGCAACGTTACAATATTAAAGACCTCCTAAAGGTCTTTCATTTTTAAATGCATTAAAGATCAAAAAATGATCACCAATTATACACAGTAATCCTTAATTTGTAGGGGACACCACAAATTTATTACAAGTGTTCTAAAAATAACATGTTCTATAATAGTTCCAGGTACCAATTCATCTCTGCTTCATCATCTTCATTCCACAGGAATCTATGGTTTTCTCTAATAACATCCAGATCCGTCTTGTCATTTGCTCTATAAAAGGACATATTTTTTTTTTAGTACAACGCGACATTCAAATGAAATGTCAGTCAAATAATAATTTGGTAAATATCAGTATTTCACAGTTTTTATCTCCACCTCACTGCATAAAGGAATATAATACTATGAAATAGAACTATTAAAAAAAATTATTTCCTGGCATACCTTTTCCCAAATGAAAAATTCACAGCGGAAAATCGCCACTGAAACTGTGAATGATTAGATCCTGTCTGCAAATATACTTTTTATTGAAGACAGTAATGTTAGAAGGCAGTTATAGGTAGCTCTAAAGAAGGTTATCATTATTCTGGACAATGGATAGCAATTCTGCACATTTCAAAAGTATTCCAGATTGCTATTTTGAAGGTACTGCCAGATATTTCTCAATGTACTCTCAAATAATGCTCACCTGTCATCTTTCCTCTTACATAACAAACCAAGAATAATTGAGCTCATGGTAAGTTCTTATATAAAAATAACAGTGCAAAATGGAAGAAGGCAGTTCTGTGGTTTGGATATTTACAACGACTGTAGCTAGTATCTGTGACCAACAGAACTAGTAATGTAATACACGGCCACATTCTCCTCTCCTCCAAAGCTATAATCTGTATTTAACAGCTGTACATAACAGGGGAGCTTTAGGGGAAAGATTGCTAATAGTTCTTACCCAGAACGTCGGAAATCCTCTATTTTGCCACCATAGTACAAAATGTAGTCCTTCACAAACTTTTTATGTCTTTCATACTGAGTAAAGTAATTAAGGACTGTTTCAGAACTTATCTCCTTTTATTTTACCATAGTTTAAAACTAAAAAATAATAAAAACTTTTATATACTTAACAGAAAGAAGCTGTTTTCCCAAAAACAGTTCAGTAATTTCCATAAAGAAAGGAATTAATCAGCAATTTTTACTTAATAACCTCTCGTAAATGCTTTTTTTCAAATACAGGAATTCAAGCCAATTTCATCCTTAAAACCTCATTCAGATGCCAGACCTTTATAAATCTGTCTTCCTTCACCACAAATGCTCTACATGCATATACACAGAAACTGGGTTCATTTTTCCAACTGTAATTTAGACAATAGCTTCTTAGTACCGCAGTTTTGTATGTTTATATTATAAAAATTGTTTGTATGTTTGTATTATAAAAATAGTCTGGCTACTAAAGTGGAAGAATTTATTACATTTTACCATCAACATACAAATAAAAGTTATTTACTTTGGTTTGGAGATGAAAATCATGGGAAAATATGTAATGCTTTTATTAGAACATTTTGGTCTCAGAGACATGATGTGAAACACATTTTGAACCACAATTTGAGCAAAATATGTAATGACTTATTAAAAAAATAAGCATCTTCGCAAATGAAAATACAATATATGGCTACTTTAAAATATCTTCAATTAACATGCATGGTGTTTCTGAAGCAGCAATTAGGTAAATACTTTATCTATTGGTATGGAGCCATACAACTACTGCATTAGTGTGAATAAACTCTATCAGCCTACTATTCCGATATGTATTAGGATTTTATTGATAAAATATTTTATTATTCAAAGTTAATTTAACCTCAGGATGCATCTTTGTTTCTTTCCACCACAAATCGAAGAACCAGAGGAGCAAGCTCAGTTCTAACTGGCACAATTAAACACATCTAACACAACATACTACTTTATGCTGCCATTTGAGTTACTAGATGTTAGAATTGCTTAACAGTAAACATTTTACATAGGAACCACTTGAGAGCATTAGCAGAAACTCATAAAAGTCTCTACATCTGTGACTACTGTCAGTCCAAATTGTCAGGGGGCCTGATTAAGATATGTCGCCTTTACAGGCATACGAGGGTTTAGGTAGTGCCTGGCCAAATTCTAAGCAGGTTAGGAGAAGTTACTTTCTGTCTACTGGAGTTTCCAGATTTAAGTAAGTCTTCCCATATTTAGTTAGTCTTTACTTTCCTATTTATTAACTGTTACTGTTGAAGAACAGCTGTATAAGCAAACAAGGAACTGAAGGTATTTCAGATACACTCAGTCAAAAGATGCAATGACTGCCCCACGTGAGAACTAAATAAAAGGAAAAAGGTTGTAATACACTTAGTACCTAAAAATAAGGTAGCACTTATAAAAATAGTTACAAATTTTGCATGAGATATGATTACGATATTAAAACATAAAGTAAAACGGCACATGATATTTAACTGACTTAGATTATTACAGCATCTGTGGAAGATATTACTGGAGATAACACTGTTTTGAATAGACTTTTCCATTAACTAGTGTATTCTTACATTTTCTGTAGAAATTAATTTGTCCCCAGATAACAGCAGCCTTATATATCATTTTCTTCTGTATAAACTCAACTCAAAGAACAAAGTGTCTTTGTGCCAATCTAAACAAAATTCACTGTATAATAATTTTGTCCCAAACAGGAGAAAATAGCACATAGGAAGAATCTGGAAATGCCTTGACTGAGCAGAGACATTCGCAGAGACATCTCAGCAACATAAAGAAGTCGATTTGAAGAACGACTCAGTATGTGGTGCTGCACTCTCAGCTGCTGTGATAACTGAGAAATCCCAGTATTTCACCATAACAGAAAACCTGTGCCCTATCTTCAATCTTGAAGAAAAATCAAAGAGAAGGATACGGCATCCATCGCTATTAAGTGAAATCTTCTTTTCCTTGCTTCTTCCCTGTTAAGAACAAATATGTGTGAGTGATAGCTATCTTTACATTAAGGGGAAAATGCTTCACAAATACAATAGATAAAAAATACCTGTCCCATTCTTCAGCTGCAAACTGTCTGTGAACGACACTGCCTTGTTTTGCTTTTTGGAACGGCTTTGTCAGAAGGCCATCGTCCTTTATGCTAAAGGTAGGGGGGGAAAAGGAAGAAAAGTTAGCCAAGAACTTTACATGAGCATTGAAATTTTCATATGTCAAACTTCAAACTAACTTGAGTAACAAAAACTATTATATTGCTAGTCTCTACATGAACTGGAACCAACACCAGCTTAGACTTTACTTCCTTTGCAGAACAAAATCAAGACGTTTGCTTACAGTTAGCATTTAAAGAAAACTGCTTATAACAGCAAGTTCTAATATTTATTTTTATTGATATTATCACTATAGAACCACAATGAAAAAACACGGATGACGCATCAGTTTCACTCTACATTTAAAGCCAGTGGTCTATAAATCTCAGTTACATAGCCAAATAGGAACAGGAAGGACAGTATGTTCACTGAATACAAGTGACTGCTTGTAACCCTATCCCATCCTTTCATGCTAATGTCTCAACACTTCATTAAACAGCTCTGTGTCTCATAGTGTAATCACAAGAATCGCTATTTTAAAACTGAAGTACTGTGTTGTGAACCATACTTGTCAGTGTGCAGCTAAAAATACTTTCAGAATTCAACAAAGTAATAAAAAGTTAAATATGAAGTAATGCACTTTAGCTAGTAAAAGGTACATTCCTCAACAGATGTGAATAAAATTGTTTTCCGTAATTATCAGCTAGCAGAAAGAATGGAAGTCAGAAACCTGTAGAAATCAAGCCAGGGAATTTATATTTCAACCTATAGAATACAGGACTTTAGAAACTGAGAGTATCATTTGCTCAAAAGGATCTGTAGGCACAAAATTCCCATAAGGAAACTCCATAAAACAGCAATATGGAGAAAAGACTACTATTTTCCTCAAAGTGAAAATAAACATCATCATAAAGCAAGAAAAGGCTATATACATACACAGTGAACCCATGTAAGGGCCCTACAGGGAATCGGCAGTAGTGTGCCAGGACAAGGGTAATGACTATAGTTTTGAAAAGCCCCCTGATGGTTAGTTAATATTCCACCCAGAAAGTGGAATGGTATAACGTGTAACGGCCTTTGAAAGAAAATGAAAACTGAACAAAACCAGTCACTTTTAATGGGGAAAAGCTATATTTATAAAATAAATGGAAAAGCACAATGCCTGCTATTATTCCAATGATTAAAACACCTTTTTTTTCCCCCCAGAATGCAGTCAAACACTACAAACCCCAATCTTCCAATTCTACTACAAAGGAAAATACATAAGACTCCTAAGAAAGTTTCCAGAAAGCCTTATTGAATAAAATCCAGTAACAGAGCATGGGAGAGACAGGAAAAGGTGACAAAAATCTATGCATAACGTAGGCAAAATGTTTGGGTACAGTGTAGAAAGTGCTGAAGGACTAGTGCCAAAGCAAAATAAACACATAAATAAACAAAAATCTTAATAATACAATGAGATCAGACTACAAAATTCAAGGCCACTAATTATGTGGGCCGCTGAAAGAACTGACAAAGGTGATCTCAAATATGAGATGTGTAGATTCATTCAAGGATTAAGTACAACACAATTCACCAACTTCCAGGTCTCTTCACAAATTAAATAATAAAACAAGTAGCATCAGTTCTTCCCTTCCTGCAGGCAGGTATCTTGTACCTGCAAAGCATGCTGCCACTCAGCCTCTTTTGCTTTGCTGTCTTAGCAGTTCCACATGTGCTGATGGATCACAGTGAAGTGAACAGCACAGCCAAATCCCAGCAGTTGATACTAATGATCAGAAAAATTAAACATTCTGCTTGGAGAAGTGAGGAGCACAGAGACACCAGATGGACATGGCAGAATGGATCTTAATCAGCTGCCCCTGGGAGATGACATGCTTGGTCACCTTGACATGAGGAGGTGCAGGAACCAAAGATTTATTTTTCAAAAACCATTTCAATATCAGACTTTACATACCACAGTGTAATCCTCTATGTGCAGTAAGAGACCATTTGCACAAAGCACATCATGCAAAGTGTTAATTCTGTACTACATTACCTTTTAGTCTTTTGCGCAGACTTCTCTCCATTCTCCTCATCACTAAAATCAGAATCATAGCCTCCATGGCCATGTGCCTGAAAATAGGAGACAACACAGTCAATATACCTACTAATGTAACATGGACACAGCATAACTAGGTATCAGGAATGTCCGCTGTGTATAAATAAAAGAGAGAAAGACAGAGAGCAAGTGCAAAGTCTTACATATGTCTAAACCTAACGAAATTCAAGACAATGCAGAGGTTATTCCAAACAACACAGGGCAAAGAAAGGCATTGTCAGTCTGTCAAAAGATCACTTTATTAATAATTCAGATGTAGATGTCCCTACATTTAATCTTCACATAGATGCAGATAACTGAGAGTATGATAAACATCTTTGGTCTTTACCTTCAGACAACCTCCTCTAGATAAGAAAAAGGTGTGTGTTTTCCCCAACAGTTACTCTTTCAGATGGCTGGAGAACAGCAACTGATGTGCTCACATGATAAACAAAGACAGTTGGGAACAAAAGCCTCTTGGGCTGGGGAACAGCATTTTAGATCATTAGATCTTATACTGGTAGCCAGAAAGGTGATTGAAATAACTAAATACAAAATAACAGTATGCCTGCAAAAACGTACTGTCTCAGCACAACAATCCTATCATGAAACGAAATCTTTTTTTTCCACACACTTTGGGACAATGTCAAATTAATGCATACACAAAACCCAAAATATCCCATATCTTAATGCCATCAAATGATCAAGCCTTGACTGATGCCCAGATCTATCACCTCCACTTTACAAGGCAGCTATACGTCCATTTTTTTCAGCAGAAGTAATGGCTTAAGTAGATCCCATCTCCTCTCCCCCACTCCCGCTCTGGCACCTTCCTTCTAGTTGCCTGGTTACAACTGTGAAACTACACATGAACCAAATCAACAACTGACCCCAGCTGCAAAGGATCCTGTCAATAAAAGACTATTTTAACCCAGATAAGTATCCTGTCAGGGCAAGCAGAGTCACCCATCCAGCTACGCCAGCCAGCTGGAGGGTTAGCACAGGAAGGAACAGCCAGAGGTGGGAACTGCATAAACCGGCACTGACACAAAAAAAATTATTTTCACAACTGGAACATTTACACAACTGAGCTAAAAACAAGACAGATGGTTATTATGCATCTGCATGGGGAAAGGCTGGACACATACTCCCTATGTAGCTTGGTAATTCAGACTGTAGATGAGCAAAGAAACTGGGTTAGAAAACCCGTGTATTTGATTCATCACTGCTGATTCCTACAATCATACTCCTCAGACAAAAATCTGAGAAACCCCAAATCTGCAATACATACATGTCTCTTCAGGACAATTTTGATGAGGTGTCTTCTCTTGATGCAAATGCCTTCCAGAAATGCTGTGCTGGAGAGTCAACTGTATCCTCTACTGACATTAACAACTGGTTTGTATCGTGCAGAGGATGTAAAACACAATCTCACACTGATGGTGAAGGATTTTAAGATTTTTTTAAATTATTTTTATTGATGATAATAAATTTTACCTTTTTTCCCTTGCTTTAATAACATAATGTTCCTTCTACTCTTGAGCTCTGAACAAGACATAGCTCTCATATGTATACATTGAATAAAAAACAAATCAGAACCTTATGATTTGCCTTTATGTCTTGTATCCACAGGAGACACAAAAACTATTAGTTACCAAAAAAAAGCGCTGCAGATGTCTGCAGTGTCTGGTATACACTGGGCCTCATCCACCGGCAAAAGAGCAGCAATGGTGTGAAGTCCTCCCAGCACAACCCCAGGATGACCTGCAGCTCAGATGCAGGTTGCCTACCTGAGGTGGCAAGGCTGTCACTACTTTTATTAATGAAGCTTATGTGATCTTTAAAGAAGGCAGAATAAATTATGAGTGTGTAGCAAATATATTCATGCTTAGCCTCTACATTTTGAAAATATCATTGTCATCCAGGAATGTTTTAAATGGCAAAAGTAATGCCTCCCACATTAACAGAGAGCCTCTTTCACACCTGAAAGGGGATAAACTCCAAGCCAACATAATGTGCCTGAGAGTCAACATGAGACAGATGAAGTATAGAAACAAGTAAGATGAAAAAAAAATACAAGATTTGCCCAAAGTGGTTGCCCTTTGATTATGAGCCCCACAAAAGAAGCAAACACATCTGGAAACTGGCTCCCAAATGATTCTAGAAATTACTCAAATAAAAAATAAAAAAGACAGAAGAAAATCTGCTCCAACAGTCATGTTGTAGGACTCTGAGAGCTGATGACTGTCTTTCGAGAAGCTATGACTGTGCATATAAGGGCAGGCATGGCTAAGGACTAGGTCCTGAGAGGCTGCTCCTTCCAACAGGAAAACTCTTCCCAGCTTCAGCCATTCCTCTGAATCACTACACTCACTCAAAGGTAAATTCAGAGTGAAAAAAGAGTACAACCAACGACTGATATCTTGATACTTTCCCGTCACTCTGCCTTCGAAGGCAACAACAGGACGGGCAGGTACTGTACCAAGCTGGGCTGGACATCAGCAGCTGCAGCAGTGCTGGATGGCACCCTTGGATACCAGCACTGAACAATTACCGACTCAATGCCTTAGGATAATACCAAGATGACCTGACTTTTAGGTAGAATATAAAAATTAACTCAAAGAAGCTCATTCATAAATCATCTTTCTGTTTTGGAAGGACAGTGTAAACAGACACTTGCTTGATGTTATGAAGTTTCAAGATTGGTTTCTCCACCTCTCCACAAAAAAAAAGCCAAACAACAATCCCAGATAAAGAAAAAGTACTTAATATTCAGTCATAGTAGAAGTGGGACAGATACCAAAGCTTTGTGCCCAGGCTAGTAGATTTTAAAAGAGGCATACATAGACATGCAAAATTGTCAGGAAAATTTAAAATAACTACTTTCACTATTCAATAAATCCTTTAACATAATCTTCACTTTGACAGAATTTGTCAGAAACTCAGAATGTTTTTAGTAAATTAGTAAGGTAAATACCAAACATTTTATCAAACATAAACCTGAAAGCTACATAACTTAAACAGTACAGTGTGTTTTGTCTGTTGCACCAACTTTGAACTTTTTTTTCACAAACAACATAACAAACCACGAAGCTAAAGCAAATATCATATGCTTTGAGATACATTTAAATGACTGACATTTAAGTAATCCCAACATCTTGGATTAATTAATAGCAAAGCAAGTGGAGACAGAACTAAACTCACTAGCTTAGGGCTCATAAAAAATGGCAATTTCAGCACAGTAAGTGCATGAACACTGTACACAATCGATGGCAGACAGAGGATACGTCAACTGTCAATGTCACAGGGCACTGTGGACACCCCAGCAATACATTTACAGGAGATATTTGCATCCAGAAAAGGCGCCTCCTTAACCATCTCCTCTAGTGTAAATACACACTTGTGGAATGGATACATCATAGTTCATGTTGACGCTGGATCACAACTCGCAGCTGAACAGAAAAAGACAGTTAAAAAAAACCCCAAAAAAACAGGAAAACAAGCCTATGCACAAAATCCAACCTCACGGCTCCTGACCTTAGTCCTAATCTCACTACTCCCCTCACAGGCGTCACTCCCATCCTTCCCTTTATCTGCCCAGCACACAGCCTGTGCCCATTTCTGCTCCCGGCCCACGTATGGCCCACAACTGACCCAGGTGCTCGGTTGGTACAAACAAACCGCTCTGGGAGGGTCTAGGGGGAGCACAGGATCTAGAACAGGGCCTGAGGAGCCAGCCCGGCCGGATAAAGGGCACGATGCTGAGGGTCACTGAGCTTCGCTGCACAACACCTCCCACCTCGAGGTCATCTTGGAGGCTTTGCTACCCTCATTTGTGGGAAAAGTAAAGAAAGCAGAACTAGCTTCAAATCTACTCTTCCTTGTAAAACAAATTATGAGGAGTATTTTCGCATACTGTGCAGTGAACACTCCTAACAAAGAGGGGAGCACCCACAAGATACCGCCCCTTTATCAAAGCTCGAAAAACCTAAGAGGAGAAGCAGGAGTAGAAGGTAGGTAACACCAGACCACAACAGTGATGGATCAGAGCGGTGTGGTGCTCCACGGAGAAAAATCACACCGAGAACCGGCCCGTGTGGGTCCCAGGCGACATCCCAAGGCGTTCTCATGC